GGAAAGAGGAAGAGAGGAGGGAGAGATGGTGCCGAGCTGAGAGCCACAGCAGCGCCGGGCTGCTCTCTGCAGCGCGGCGTGATTGAGAAAGTTGCTGTGGTTGCCCGAGGCAGAAATCCCTCGTTCGGTGCATGGGAATGAGGGAGAGACCCAAGGACAAGCAGGGCTGTGCAGGAAGTGGAATTTTCCGAGGGGGTTCACATCCTTCGGAGCTCTTTTTGCCAAGATTGGATCTCCTGGCTCGATGAAGGCTGCCTCCTAGAGACACCAGGAATAAGGCCTCAAAGATGAGGCGTGCACTAGGCCTGATTCAACTAAATAATGAAGGATAGGGGGCACCTTCCCTTATAATTAGAGCAAGGTCTGAAGATGAGGCGTGACTTTGGGTCCTCCCTTCTGTTTCCCTTTCTCCCCAGTGAGTGTCGAAACACCACCATGATGTCTGAACGGGGTGAAAAGCCAACTTAAAACCAGCCCCCCCCCCCCCCCCCCCGATGTAATACTTGAATACATACCCAACATATCCATAGTCACAAAAACAACTGGGTTTGTCTCCTGCTACGCACTAATTCTGCACTCCAAAGCCACACATACAGACCCAGAATGCCAAACACTATAAACTTGTCAGAATAAACCCTCAACTCGCTGACAAACATCCATCACTTAAAGTCACCCACGGAAAGGTGGAGCAGAACTTTAATCCCCTCATTATTTGTACACTTGGTGGTGGGTTCAAAAAGCCAGAGCCTGCTGCTGCCAAGAGTGAGCTTTTCACACAAGTTTGGGCTTTAGTGGCCTGGCCTGGAAATAGTACTTGATTAAAAATGTTAATCACCTTCTGGTCAGTGCGACCCTGACAGCGGCTCCAGCGAGGTGCCACGTGGGAAAGCAGAGTTTGGGATTTAAACGTGCTTTTCCCACTCCAGCCCGAGGGACTGAGAGCGCCTTAATGGGGGACAGGAAGAAATAAATACATTAAAATTAATAGATTAAAAAAAAAAAAAAAAAAGCCCTTTTCGTGGTGCTCAGAAGCGACCTCTGTGGCTGCTCGGGGAGTGAAGTTCATCAGCGCGGAGCGAGGCGCAGAGCAGATGGAACGCGGTCCCGCCGGCTTCGGGGGGAAATTAAACAAGAAAAGAAAGAAATAAATGGGAACGGGGAGGGGGGGACGGGACGGGACGGGACATACACGGGGAACGAGGACACCCCCGCTTGCGAAGCGCAGTGGGCCGCAAAGCATTGTTTGGAGGAGGAGCGACGCCGCGGTGATGGGCTCAGCAGCGGCTGCTGGAACGCGTGGCTACGGACAATGCCGCCCCACAGCCATCGAGCGCCACCGCCCCGCAGCTCCCCAGTGCCCCCCAAAACCCCCGGGCCGGGCTGGAGGATCCCCCCCACCCGGAGCGAGCTCTGTGGCACCGGGACTCGCCCACCCCCTCGCGGGCTGCCCTGGGGTGATGGGGGGCCGGGGGGGGGGCTGCACTCCCGGCCGGGGCACCAGGGCTGCCTCCTCCCACCGGTCTGGAGCAGGGTTTGACACAGCGGCCAGGGCTGTGGAAGTTCAACGGGGAGACGGCAGAAGGCGTCACACGGGGATTTCAGTTCTTCACACGCTTATGGTGGCTTTAACTTTTGCATCTTTGCGAGCAATTAACAGCGTGGCTGTTAAAAGAGGACTTAAAGACACACACAGAGCAGAGGTGAGGGAACAGCAAACACCCCACCTCATCCATGGAGGCAAGAAAACACATTAAAACCTCCCCATTAATGAAGAGGTCCATTAAAATAAAGCTTATTTTTGCTATGGTTATTTCTGGTTGTTCTCCCTCCTCCACCCCAACTTTGTTTTACTAAAGCAGGGAAACATATACAGAAACCTTGCCTGCAGTAAATGCTGCTTTTTTTTTAAACGGAGCCCAGATGCTGGTCAGGATTAAGGTTACACCAAACACATTCTACATTGCCATTTTCCAAACAGAATGAAGCAGATGGAAAAGATGGAAGAGGATACAGGAGGAACGGAGCACCACTGAAAACTGCAAGCCCTGCACTGAGAGCTGGAGAGGAGTGAAGCCGGGCATGTGGAGTGTGCCTATTGCGTTCCTCACAGCTAAAATAAGTAGTTTTAATTAAACAGCTGTTGGAATTTGGGCTTTAAACCTTCTGTTTAAAATGGGAAAGGGAAGTTCAGCTGCAGCCGCTCACTGGAGTCTCCTCAGGGCTCAGTCCTGGGAGATGCAAAAGCCACTGGCTTCAGGCCACCAGAGTACTTAAGTCTACGGGTAATTTTAAACATCAGCAGTACCGGTGATTCTAAGCATATACTCCCTTAAACTTAATCGTGTGCTCAGCACTTTGCAGGATCCACCCAGGATACTCATCCCAGCTTCTAGCTCAAGAAAAGGAGGATGTGCACACTGGAGAAAACAAAGGGAAAAAAATCTGCTTCTGAAATGGGATAAAGAGGTTTGGGTTTGTAAAAGATGCCAGTTCATCAGTATGGGGAGCTCAGCTCAAACCAGGATCAGTCTCTAGGGAAGTCAGCTGAATCCATGCTTCTATGTAAAATACCCCCATTTGGCAAATTCATTCTAGTACTGAAGGTGAAATTCTGCAATAGCTGAAGTTTCCTGGGACTCAGATCTTCTGATGGGCTTTAAAATCCCACACAAAACTGGATCTTCAGAGATTTTGTTGATGCTATATAGGCACACACACAATGCAGAGAAAGAACATACAACCTACGAACTATTCGTGCTATGGGAAGGACACTTGGCAATGTCCATTTCAGATGTACAAAGGTAGGCACTAAGAACTGGTCAAATGTTTAACACAATAATTGTAACAATCAAACCTATGCAATATTACTTCTTTATAAAGGCTGATAGTATCATGTGTGCCTTCAGCAAAACAAAGGCATTGGTCAGAATTGTTCACTTCCTCTGCAAACCAGAATCCTGAGCTCCAGACATGCTGAGGAATTATAAAAGAGAGATAGTTTTCAAATATTTCCAAAAATATTGATTATATCTGACAAAAAAAAAACAAACAAAAAACAAACCCACCTAAAACAACAAAATCCCCACTAACACTGAGGTGCTCATGTTCCTGTCTTCATAATCAAGTACCAGAGCCCAGCATGCTCAGAAAGATTCACAGAATCATAGTGTTAGAAGGGACCTTAAAGCTCATCCAGGTCCAACCCCTGCCACAGGCAGGGACACCCTCCACTAGAGCAGGTTGTGACCAACCTGGCCTTGAACACTGCCAGGGATGGGGCAGCCACAGCTTCTCTGGGCACCCTGTGCCAGCACCTCAGCACCCTCACAGGAAAGAGCTTCTGCCTTGTATCTAACCTGAACTTCCCCTGGTTTAGTTTAAACCCATCACCCCTTGTCCTGTCATTGCTTAAGAAGCTTTTCATTACTATTTTTTTTGGAAAGGACTTTGTAATACTTGAAAATTCATTACTTCTTCCTGTATCTATAGCTATGATATAGCATCTCTCTTTAAAAACACAAAACCCCACCAACAAACAAAAGCCGAACCAAACAGCACTTAAGTTGTGATACAAATGAGTGATTTTTTTCTCCTACTACCTCCAGGGATACAAAATAATCTAAAATTGACATCCTGTCATGGGGAGAAAGGAAAAAAAACCTCCAAAAGCAAGCCAGAGATTTGGAAAGTGATGTCCAGACAACCAGAGACTGACAAGCCTGACCTCAGTGAGATGTAAAACTGGAGTTATTTTTTCCCTGGAAGGGGAAAAGATGTGGAGGAAAATAAAGAGATAAAATTCAACATAGGTTTAACAAAATCAATCATGCCAGACAAATCTGATGTCTTGCTTTGATAAGGAAGCCGAGTTTTCTTGGTAAAGGAAAACACAGTTGATCTCACCCATCTAAAATTCAGCAAAGCATCTGATCTGGTGCCACATGGGAAAATAAAAGTTAAACTGGAAAATATGAAGATTAGCCCAAGAAAAGTTTTGTGTGTAAAAGAATGGCTGAACTCCCCCATGCTGAGCTGGGTTGGAATGGGTACTTTGGGCTGGAAAGTGAGAGCTTTCAAGCTCCTCCAGGATCAGTCTCAGAACTGATGCTGTTTAGTGCTTATAAGTGACATAAGTACAAGGAATTGAAAGAAGTTCATATAGCTCATAACTGACAACATCAAAAAGCATCCGTACAGAAGACTAGAATATCCTAAATGAAGAATTGGATGAGGTTCTGGAACAGCACAGGGATCCTGAGGAATGCAGTAATAAGATTAATGCAAATCACAAGGCTGTTCACACAGGGACTAACAGCCAAAATTCTTGTAAACTGGGAACTCATCAGAGTTAACAGAGAAGGATGAAGCTCAGAAGCATGATTTAGTCATGGAAATGACTAAACATGGCAAAAATGAAGATGACAAATGTGATCTAAAGACCAGGTGAGGCACATCCAGATGTTCTGGCAGCAGCTCTCTTGCAGAATCTTGGGTACAGTTTATATTCAAGAATGAAAACTAGAATAGGTATAGAATAGGCTTCCTAAAATGGTTTTAAAAGCAAAGAATCTATCATGAGGAAAGACTAAAGTTTTATTTTAGCTAACTGCATGCTTAAACCATACCACTCCAACAAAAGAAAGGCTGAGATAGGACAGGGCTAGTTTGTACACACAGATTATGTCTTGAACACAGGTATTTAAAGGGTTATGTTAGCACCAAAGAAAGTCCTGAGGACATGGAAGATGAGAGAACAGAATGTCTTATTATGAGAAAAATTAGATTTTAAAAGATCCTTCTGGTGGGGCTACCAGGGTGAAAGGGGCTGGTTTTATGCTGGAGCCTCATGTCCTTGTGGCCAAAAAGAGGTACGATTGAAAGTCTGATGTGAGGCAGACAGTGGAGGCTCCTCAAGCCCAGTGTTTGGGGGCTAACCAGCACCAGCAGCTGCCTCCAAAATCTCACCTGTAACTTCATGCATGATGAATGAAGTTTACTATGGCAAGTTGGGAATCTGTTTATTGTCACGGTGGAACAGACAGATGCAGTGGAGAACTTTGACAGCTCTGCATCAGTGAAACGAGAGGAAAATCTCTTTGCAATGTTGTGAAGATACATTTATGGTGGTTAAAAAGTATTCAAATGCTATAATGAAAAGCATAATGAAAATCTATTACCATTAGTAATTCTGTATTTACTGCAGCACTTGAATTATATGCAATAAAATATGTAAGCAAACATCAAATAACAAGGATAAAAGCAGAATCTGAAAACAAACCATTCACGGAATGAGACAAGAGTTTGAGGAGGCAGTTTGTATGGTTTCAATTCTAATTAGAGACTGCATCATGGTGCAAAGAACTGGATTCAGATAGGCAAAAGTATGAGAAACAAACACAAGAAAACTGAACACACTGCTCAGATCCCTCTTAAATTCATCTGGGTCACAAGAACATAAAGAGAATGAACTAATGAGAGTGAATAACACACAGCCTGACCTGGCCCTGAAGTACACACAAGCTTAGCAAATCCTCCCATCACAGAATGCTTGGAGGGAGAACTAAACAGCGATCCTTGTAGTGAACCTCAGCAGTGAGATGCTCCTCTGGTTCTGCAGGGAACTGATGAAAGAACAAGCTTCTCGAAGGGTAAAGCTTTCCAAAAAGCCAAAGTATTGCACTACCCCAGGAGCCATTTCTAGTTTTCACTAGGGGCTTTTTGTTTCCATCATAAATAACATCAACAGGAATATGTATCACCTATCTCTTTCCATCTCCAGTCTCTTAATTTCTCCAGACAACACATACCTGATCCAGCAATACTCTTTAGCAAACCACCCAAGGCTGCCCTTCTTGGGATCTCCTAGTCTTAACTGTATGACCACTGGAGATGGTTTTTTAGTGATTCCAAACACACGGCCTTCCATGCTGTCAAACACTCCTGCCTTGTATCTGCTACCTCCTCATGTTTCTATAAGCAACAACAGACAGGGGCATGGAGCTGAAAATTCAGCATCTTCTATTTGGGGATTTTTCCTTCCTTTTTTTTCGTTTTCCCCTTTCTTTTCTCTCTCGTCAATGCTCTGATAGCTGCATGAAAGACCAAGAGGACACCTTCCATCCGTAAATAGTATTTTCATGTCATCAATGTTTTGGACAAAACCAGAATCCTGTAACTTTTCTGTTGCTCTTTTCTTCTTTCTTCAAATGCTTTTCAGCTTTAACTTTGCTTCAGTTCACCTCTAGCAACTGTGCCTATTACACAGACATATTTACTAAGGCTACTTTACATACACCCATGCCAATTATCTTGCTCAGCTCAGTGTGGGTGAAGCCTCAGCTGGAATATCATATCCATTTTCAGGTGCCACATAAGAAAATAAAACCAGATCCAAACCAACTGCAAAGAGCACAAAAAGCAACAAAGATGCTGGGAGGAAATCTACCCCCAAGAACAAAGTGAAATACTGGATTTGCTTCATGCAAAGAAGAAAAAGGAGAGTGCTCATGTGATGGCTGAGAAGGGCCAAATACCAATAGTCCATTTTGTTACAGTAAAGGTCAGCAATCAAATGTTCATGCCCACTGAAAGTAGAACAGGAATAGACTTAATTCAAGATTTGGTAAAGTAACAAAAGCGATGTTTAAACAATTAAAACACCAGTATGGGAAGTTGTGGAACACCCTGCACTTCAGATTTTGTTAAGAAGAGGATACACAAACATCCCTATATGGGATATAGAGAAGCATCTCCCTCCTGTCTTACAGTCAGCATGGGATCTACAGATTGGGATCTACAGGTCTCCTAATGTCTGACAGCTACATTTATTATAGCAAATACAGGAAGAAGAATAGTGGTGAGAAGGGAATATCTCAATTACAAAAGTGGACTTTTAAATGAAGACAATGCCACTCAGGGCCACTGTCCATTCTGGGCCACCATCTCAGGCTACCATTTCAGTAAGTGACTTGAGGACTTCCCTGCAACTGCCAGCTCCAGAGGAGATGAGGGGCTGCATTAAGTGCATCACATATGCAAACAATCCCTATGCACTCTGAGTTTAAAGTTTACAAGGCATTTCAGATTCAAAGTTTCTTGGTTTATTAAGTTTATCTCACTAACTGAAAATCTTTAGATACAGTTTGGTTGAAAAGCTTCACCTCAGCCCACAGCAGCACGACATCACCTGCGGTAATTGTTAATACAGACCCTGCTCCTTTGATTAATTTGTTCCATTACCTCTTGTTCATCAAACTGCATTTTCCTTATAAAATGGCTATTTTTACACTGGACATCCTTAACACTGAAAGTGTGTCTCCACTCCTTGCTCCCAGCCACCTTTCAGTGTCTTTCCCTTCCCTGCCTCTTACAAATGTTGTACAAATCAGGGCAAGCTCAGGTTTCTAATGAGTTTGCTCTGACGAAGTTTTGCAATACCATTCTACACCCATGCAATGGCAAATCACCTTCTCTGATGAGCAAGGCCATGTACAACTGTTAAGAAGTTGTTCTCTGTGTTCACAAATTCCTTCTTGGAGCTCAAAAGACCATGCTTAGTCCCTCAAACCCCACCCCTAACCCTTATTTGATCACGGACAGTGCCTGGGGAAAACTGGGTAATTTCTTATGCATTGCCAAGCTTTCCGACACAGAAGATCAGCACCTTCTCCAGATACATACATAAAAAATAACATATAATCCCATGACAACATTCCTGACATAAAACTGGCTCGTTTTCAGAAACGCTGATCCTCCACAGAGGGCAATGGGCTCCTGCCTGTTGTTTCATATTCTGCCTCCGCACAGGTTTCTAGGAACACGATGTTGTCCCCCCAGTGTTTGGCTGCCACTTGTGGCCATCCCAGTGCTGCACCAGTACCCGGTGCTATCAGTCCCTGCTAGCTGACTACACCCAGAAACAGTACACAGTGAGTAAATCGCTCAGAGAAATTCTGTACAGAGGTAGCACGTTGATTACATCTTCCTGTTTCTCTTCATGTGTTTCTTCTGCTATCAAAGCAGCAAAAGCCCTACAAGGCACACAACTAAACCTTTCCACCTGTGCAGCCTCACAGGAATGTGCACTGTAATGGATTTACCAGTTTCTTCTTCATGCAACCTTGCTGCATTTTGAAAAAGAAGTTGCATAAGCAAAAAAAATCCACGGATGCCAGGAGAAAAGGAATAGTTATTTGTCAGGGCAACCTACAGAATCCCCCAATTCCTGAGAATTCCCTGTCAACACACTGTGAACTCCCCCCCATAGAGCTGAGTAGCAGAACAGCACTCCATGGGATAACTGCCCAGAATATGTTGAGAGGTAAATTGATACAAGAAAGCACCGTGCACCCGATTAACATTGAAAATACCTTAAATCAGCATAACAAAGTGGGGTTAGCTGCTTGTGCTCAATATAGTTAAAGAGCTGTAATTAGATCAAACAAACCAGATTGATGTATCTTCCCTTTGTAGACATGGCCTCAGAAGGTAGGTCAGGAGCTAAGTTCAGTGAAACAGTGTTAGTGCTGCAGCTTTTATCTAACGAGACACAGCTACACACTCACTCAGAAGTAAATACTGCTGAATTCCAAAGAAAAGGAGTTTCTAGAGAAGACAGCATTCTTTAATAACAACCTTAGCTTTGTCATTAATAAAACTCTCCTCATTGATTTTATAAGATACCTTTTGGATAAACAACACACAAAATGTTGGTTACAAATTCATTTGTGTCAAGGCATTTGAAGGTCCTTATTCACCTTAACATCAGTGGAAGTGTCTACACAGGGTGAATTCTAATTTGTTCTTTCAGAAGCTTTTAATTAAGAAAATAATGTAGAACAGCATTGCATGAAATATGGTCACTCAATTTCAGAGATGAGCAAGACATAAGGTAGCAGATGGTATGAGGAGGATATATGTGAGGAAATGTAAATAGTAGGGAACCTCACAAAATCAAAACGTAAGGCAGAACTGAAAGCATGTGCAAGACCCCCGGGAGAGCTGAGGAGACAAAGCAACAACTGAGCTGCAAGATACCAGACCTTCCTTACTCAGAAATGACAAAACACCAACAGGAAGCTCTCGTCTAGCTGAAGGGAAGACCCCTCATAATGAGGGAAGTTGATATTGTTGTGAAGGGTCCTTAAAGTAAAGATGAAAAGAGTGGAGGAAACAAGGACAGGGTTTGCAGGTGCCAACAAATGTATTCGTCAAAACACTTTTTGAATCAAAAAAGAACCCCTGAGCCCCCAACTATTTCAGTATTGTAATAAGTAATGAAGACATTACAGAAGAGCTAGAAGTGGAATATAACCTTGTATTGAATAAAGACAAGATAAATTGTTTAAATTAGGCAGAAGACCAAACAAAGCTTGGAAGGGTTTGCATCATCAGGAACAGCCACAAAGTTGTGATGGGATCAGGGAGAGATGAAGCCTGTACATGAGCATCATTTGGTCCAGGACCTGCCCTCCAAAGCCACATGAGCTGCTGTGGTTGCACAGACAATGCAATTCAGTTGAATGTGTGTAAACCAGTAACTATTCTGAACATTTATGTTTCAAATACTTGTTAGAAATTAGGAAGTAAAGCAGTTGCTTCCTCTTCTCCTGCAAGATTTGTTCCAGCCAGTGACAGCCCCTTAGTGAAGCCCATCATTAGTTTATGAAGTCATTAGAGTTAATACCAATATGGGAGGCAGGGGAAGGAGAAACTAGCGACCTGTGTGAAGTCCACATTCAGAAGCTGAAGAGCACATTCTTTCTTTGCACCAAAAACATCACCATCTTAAAGATGTCTTTACATGGCTCCATCTCCAACAGAGCCACCAGACGAGATGAGCAGGACACTGAAATGGGGTTGGCAAGGGGGCAGTTTGGTTGGCAAGTCTTAGGAATTGCTAAGAACAATGGCTGGGCCACAGATTTTAACTGTTTACTAATCACTAAAGGTTAAACTTGGGTTAATAAAACCTGGGAAGAGCTGCTGATTTGTGAAGTGGCCCTTCCATGCAGCTGCAAGGACCAGCACATCAGTGCCAGGAAGTTAACAAACCTTGTTCTGTGAACCAAAAGAGTGCCAAGCAGATACCAAAGTGCCCAAGAACCTGTCTGCAGCTACTGAAGACATCATTGCATTCTGAGCATCAAAGGAAGCATAACAGTGAGAAGATGGCAGCACTGTTTGCAAAAGACACTGCTAAAGGAATATGGAGCAGCTATTAAATAACGCCACAGGATTGCTGAGCCCATGGAAGTCCCTCCATCATGAAGGTGCATTTCGTGCCTCCTCTTGCCTCATGCCAAGCACACTTCCACAGCAGAACACCACGAAGTTCACTGAGTCTAAATCACAGTGAGTCTCATTTTGTATCTTCTTCTGCCGTGAGTTCCATTTGTCTGGGTGATTTATGAGGTGAACTCCAGCTATGCAAGGCCTCTCTCTTCTTGAATGGAGGAACAATTCAGATAAGAAAGAAATCTCTTCTGAGTTAAGAGAGGAAACTGGACTTAACTGCATTTACTAAGGTATTTATTATACATCTAGGCCAGATGAAGCTTAGCACATTTAATATATATAAAACTGCAGATCACTGTCTAGGAAGAGCAAAAACCAAAAAAAAAACCAGGCTCACAAGTTTCTTAGTAATTTAAGCCACTAAACTACCAGAAAAGCCACAGTTGCTGGCAGTAGCAACGGATATCTATCAATTCCAGCTTGCTGCTTTCAGCAACACACAGGAATTGAGAGGCAGTTGGCTCTGCGTGCCCTGAGATACCTTCAGGCTGAGGGGCAATGTGACTGCATAACCCCCAACAGGCACTGCTTTTGTGGCTGTGGAGTTCAGAAATTGTCTCAAGGTTCTCTGTCATGAAAGACATCGTATGCAATTACAGAAGAAAAGACAACTGCAACTTACAGGCCTGGTCCTGTAGAAGATGTGCGATCTTTGATGACTCAGCAGTTCTTGAGGGGCTCATGAGCTCTTTGCAGATGGGAGCCCAGAGCTAGGAGATAATTTGCAAGAAATAAATCTCTGCGTTGTAACTTATCACTTCAGAAAAGACCACGTGCAGAAGTCTTAAAACTCAATGAAATCACAGAATTAAGAATTTCAAGTGTAAAACCCATTACTAAGTCATCCAAGTCCATTTACAATTATTGATGGTAAATCCATCTACTCCAGATGGGAAGAGGTCACTCTCTTCTTTTTCCAGGGCAAGTCTATGAATAATTTGCGTGATTAAAGCTCAAAGCAGGTGTGAAAATGAAAAGGACAAGGGAAGCACATAGGAAAGAAAATACATTCACATGAAGATACTTGGCTTTCATTCTCAACCGAAAAAGGCACCTTCCATCCCCCCCAGTCCATCAGCCACAAGATACAATGAGTTTGTACCTTTCTTTTACAAAAGAGTTGTCACTTTTAAAGGCACGTTGAAATCTTATTTTTACTTTTTAGGTCTTCCTTCTTCCACCGGAGATGACCTAAATTTGGAGCTGAAGCATTCACAAGGATCCTTGTTTGGAATATAAAACAACAGCAAAAGCATCAGCCTGCAAAAAAAAAAAAAGGAAAAAAATAGGAAGGAAAATTACAGTGAAGAGCTCCCCGAATAACAGGAGGTCACAAACACTGCAGAAAGAGATGCTGAAGCAGTACTATCCAGAGAGAGTGGACACAAAGTGATTGCATTTACAGAAACCCAGCAGAGGACAGGTGGGCAGGATGTGAATCTAAGCAAATGACCCCAGTTCTGGGAATACCCAACAGTTCTCAAGATTTCCCCTCAAATATATTGTATTCTTTGTGCAAAAATGGTCAGAGACACCAAAATCCAAGAGTCTCCTGCTAGGAAAAAATAAAACTTGAAAGCTTGCTAAGGGAAGTATTCAAAGAGAATTAAAGAGCTCCAGAAAGGAGGCTGTATTTTGTATGGCAAACACATCTAATCAGTAGTGCAGAGCACTGAACATTCATGCAGCTCATTATTTCAAAACCAAACCAAAACACCCCAAATATACTTGCGCATCCATTTCTTTTGTTTTATCATCCTTAACAGTCAACAGAAACTAAGATTATAATCTGTGCCTTTTTAAAATTCCATTCAACAGATGTTCAGAACCAGACCGGAGCCAAATTTCAGTTCCCCAAAAGGATATTCAGGCAGAGAACTTGCACAAATGGATGCTAAAGTCTCACTTTCCCCCTTGTAATGATTGCTTTTCTGAGACATCAAATCCTCTTTTAGCCTCATTTCAGGTTCCCACCAGCAGAAAATGTATTTTTCATTTCCATTTCCTATAGTATTGTTTTCCAAAAACGGCACTGATGTTCCCAGCACAAGACAACTCTCCTTCACTCCTTTTTTATGTCATCTCCTCAACGTGAAGTGATTGTCTCAGTGACAAAGCTCTCTTCTTTGAAAAAGATGAAAACAAAACCCCAGCTGGTACTAATAAATATTGACTTAATGTAAGGAAAAAAGGAATTCGACAATTAAATATGAAAATTACAGGGGGAAAAAATAGGTGTTTGGAAAGGCAAGGCTGTGAGCAGCGCAGTCCTTTGACAAGACCGCTGCTCAACAGCTCCTTCTGGGACGCTGTGAGGTGACTTCTTTAAAAGTATGGTCTAGAAATACCCCCAAATCACAGAAATTATACATCACTTGAGGGTTTCAGATGCTATACAAAATGAAGAAATACCAGGACACATCATGAAAATGGTGGCATGAAAACAGCGTTGCACTTACTTGCCTGTGCTAATGCGGGAAGGGGGGCTGAAGGGAAAGGTTTTATTTTTACTTAATTACTCTCAGTGTTCACTGGGGACTCCTTCCAAAGTGTGTTTTATATTTGGACCTAAATGCAAGCAGGATTCAGCCTTGATCTTATTCCTTACGACAATATGTTTCTTAAATTAGAAGTCCCACAACTAGAATGTTGTCACCACCATGAACGTTCCTCCACAGTACCTCCACAGTCTATTAACCAGGATGCAGTTGGCACTGGGGAGGGGAGCAAGAGATTGTTTATAATTAAATTAAAAAAGCACTCAGAAAATAACACTTTTTAGGCTTGCAGCATCTTTCATCCAAGGATTTCAACCTACTTTGAAGTATAAAGCCTTCAAACACCTAAAAACCACCCCCAAGCCCACCCAACTTTAAGGTATTTTGGAAATGATAATACACTGAGCAAGCATCCACCTGTGATGCAACGACAAGAGTCTCCTACTGCAGCATTTCACACATATTCAATCCACCTTCTGGTTACAGCTCACAAGTTTGTGGTATGTAGAAGGAACAGCAGAGCTGGTTAAAGATTTTCTCTTGCTTCACATACTCTGCAAGCTTCTCATTAACTCATACATGACTTTCATCAGCGCTGAAGCACACGCTTCTTTTAGCATGCATCAGAGCTGGTCTGGAAAAAACCCTCCAAATATTATTGTAACCATTAATCAGTAAAGAAAAAGGCAACCTTTTCCTAAAGTGACCGCCGATTTTTCTATGTAAAGGGTTAAACCGACCTTCACTGATCCAGTAAGAGCTAATAAAATACAACTTTAAGGGCAAAAAATGGAGCACTTCAAGAACATCATTATGAAGAGCTACATTCAAGCCGACAGAAGACAAAACCTTAAAGCACAGATGCTTCTAAAACAAGAGCTCACACGTTTTAAAAAGCACACTACCAACCGCTTGTAATGAACAAGCAAAACGAGAGGGGGTTTCTTTCCCCCTTGCAGGGCTGTGGAGCTGCGGGTAAAGGGGGCATTCAGGCGCTGCGCTTGCAGAGCCAGCTGCATGCCTTGCACTTATGCAGGGCTGTGGAGCTGGTATTGGTTGGTAGCGGGGAGGGAGAGCACAGTAAGCCTGAGAAAAACCCATCAGAGCTCCTGTCCTCCCCTTTCAGCGTTAATGGGAGGGATGGAAGTCTATGGGAGCTGCAGTGGGGGATGGGGCTGGCAGAGGGGGTGGGGAGAAGCAGAGCTCAGGCCTTACAATCAGCAGCAGCTCTTGTTCTCCTCTCCTTTTCAGCGTTAGCAGGAGGATGTGAAGCTCATGTAGCTGGGAACGGGATGGGGGGAAGCGGAGCGGGATCATAGTTTAGCTTTTGTCCTCTCTCCACAGGGTTAATAGGAGGACACGAAGCCTGTGTAACTGGGATAGGGGGAGGGGATGAGGCCTTAGATCACAGCCCCCTTGCCCCGCTCTCCCCGCAGGGTTAACGGCAGGATGTGAAGCTCTCGTCTAGGGGCAGCTTTAGGGTTTTGGGGGGGTCCTGTGCGAGTCAAACACCCGCGGGGGAAGGGGGGGGGGAGGCGAGGGGAAGCTCTGGGGCAAACTTCCCTTAAACGTGGCGCTGCGTTTGTGCAGCCCCGGAGCTCTGCTTATCCCTTTGGAGCCTAGGACCTGCCCCTGGGGTGCCCGTGGCCGGCGGCGGGGCGGGGTGAACCCGGGCTCCTTATCTGCAGGGCGCAGAAGAGCGGAGAGGGCGAGCGGGAGGGCTCAGGTGCGCTGACAGGAACGCGGGGCCCGCGTCCAGAGCGGGTGGAAAACCCGTGTGGGAAAACCAAGCAGGCGGGTGTGGGAGGCCGCTCCGGGGGCGCTCACCTGCCGGGGAGGACTCGGCGCCGTGCGGGGCTCGGGCACGGCCCCGCTCCCGGTCCCGCTCCCCACCGCGGGGCAAAGTTTGCCCGAACTCGGCGGCTCCCGCCCGGGCCCTCAGCGGCAGCGGGGGGAGGGGGCGCAGTTCCCGGCTCCGCGCCGCGTTTTCCCGCTCACCACCACCGCCACCCCCCCTCCCTCCGCGCAGCGTTCCCCGCGCCTCCTCACTCCTCCGCGCCTCCGAATCCCTCCGCCCGAGCCGGCGCTTGGGTTTTTTCACCTCCTTCCCCTCCCCCACTCCCAACATCGCTTCCTCCTGGTTTGTCCCAGCTAAAGCTGCGGGGCGGGGGGAGGGAAACGTTTCTCTTCCCGTTTCTGTAACGGTGTCCCGTTAAGGGGGGAGCGGGGCTGAGCATTTTGCTGGGGGAGAGAGGAGAGGCGGTTGGGACTATTTGGCGTTCCTGCCACGGCCTCGGCGGAAGGAGCTCGCTGTGTGAGAGCCTGTGGGGTGCTGCGGCTCCTCTCAGCGCTTCCTGGAAACTCCCGCTTAGGAGCGGGGAGGGGGGGGGACGGGGGACGGGAACAGGAACAGGGGAGAAAGATCCTAAAATCTTAGTCCACTTATGGGGCATGAGCACCCCCTTCCCCTGCACAGCCCCTCAGTACCCCAAAGAGAGGGGTGAGGAGCGGGGAGACGTGACGGGGTGGATTAGGGGCGAAAAAGTCCTTCTTCCCGGCCTTGGCAGTGAAGGGGCAGCCTGGCCGGTTGTGGGGCGAGGGCAAGGGGCAGCCACCCCCGAAACAGCGCCTTTCATCCCGTGTTTCCTGGAGCTGGGGGCACGGCTCCCCGCCGGTGTGGGCTGGGGAGTGGTGGGTGAGGGCTGTCGAGGCTGGTCCGTAAGCATTGGGCACGATCGGGGCTGGGAAGCTCCGGCTGCAAAGGGCTGAGAACAAAAAAAATTAAAAGGGGAAAAAAAAAAAGGGAAAGGGAAAAAGTAAAGCGCTCCCTTTGCTGCCCTCTGCCTGCCGCGGGGCCGGGCCGCGGAAGCGGCTGCTCGGGGGTGAAGGAACGGGGCCAGCCCGTGTCGTACCTTGCTCTTGAGGCAATGGGTTATCCGCTGTCCCCGGTGGGGATGCGCTTTGCGACCCGCACCCCAACCAGGCTTTCTCAATGGGCCAAGGCGCGTTCCCGTTTGGCTCGACTCAAGGGTGAGAGGACTTTTGGGGCTCTGCGTTTGAGTACTTGGGTTATTTAAGGTGATGGGAGGAAGAACGCAGAGTGTGTGCAGAAATGGGGTGTCCAGAGCGAGTCGCTGATGAATGCCCGTGATACACAACCAAGGACACGCAGCATCAGTAAATAACCGTGTGGTTCATTAGATACGGGCGTTAGGGATCCTACCTCACACTTTCAGACCTGGCTTCTTCTGCCTCCCCTCACCTGGGGCCTGGCACCAGCTCATCTCCCCCAGTTCCCAAGGTTTAACACCCTTTGGAGTTGTGGATCCTTTCTGCTGTTGCAAAGCAACTCTGAAACAAAAACTCCGTTCTTCCACTAAATCCATGAGTTTTGGATGCTGGGACAACTCAGGAAAAGCAGGCAAGATGTAATGAAATTATGTGGAAGAGAAGGATTCATTATGGCGAGTAGATACTCATAAATCCTGTTAGCAAACAAACACGTCCATAGATACTCCCTGATTCTAGATGCCCAGCACCTTCCATATGCCTCCATTTCCTTAACACCATTCCTAAGTCTGTACATGGCTCCATTTACAAACCTAAAATCCAAATGTAAAGCAAGGGTGAAGGCTGTTCTCACCTCCTGATCTTGGGTTTAGTTCTCAATTCTATAGTTTGGTCTATGGAAAGAGCAGCCTCTGGCTCTTGAGGACTGAGAAACATCTCCTGGCTTCACACCCCTCCAGCACCACTCAGTTAAAGATGATATGTGCTCTGCTTTAGTCCTTGGCTCCCTTTGAATACCTTTTAGTTCATTGCAGTCTCTGTTGCAGTTTTACTTTGTACTCCAATCAGTGCCTTGTAATATACGTGTATTTATTCTGTCAGTCCTGCACTGCATCCCTTCTACCATCAAAATACTAAACCACAAAAGCTCCCCTATTACTCATCAGCAGATCCATGGATTTATGCAGGATTTCCTTGGAGCAGGTCAGCAAATTCAAAACAACGACTTCAAAACCCTTGGCCTGAGAATGGATTGTTTCCAGATCCTTTTCTTTCCTCCTCAATTAAAAAAGGCAGGTCCTGGGGAAACCTAGTAAACAGCCACCATTGCAAAGCCCATAGCACGCCGCATCCTGATGCCAGTTGTGTTGGAGTAACTGCAATCTTGTGTTTAGATAGCAGGAGATAGGAAAACATCACTTTGTCTGCATGTCCCGTTAGAATAAATCATCCTGGATACTTCAAGGGGATAAAGCGTCATCCAACAAAGAGCTGATTCAGTCGTCTGCACTGAAAAGCTTTATGTTTCCTGGTTGATAGTTTAAATTATCATGGGATAGTTTAAATTATCCACAGCCTAAAAACCCCACCCCAGCACATTAAACAGAACTCAAATTATTCTTCTCCAACTGCAGGAAATGCAAGTGTTGGAGAGAAATAGATAAAGCCCCCAGTTCCCTGATTTCGTGAGCTCTTAATTGAGGGAAGTTGGTTTATTCCTAAATGTGCTTTTTGTGTGCTCTTGTGTGAGCAAGTTGTTGTTTGTCCTCTTGTTTTTATGGCAAACGCTCCAGTATGAGCCACTTTAATATTAACCACTTGAGTGGACTTTAGTGAGTCCTGGGAACTGGGATGTGCTCCCACTGCCCAGCACAGGGATCCATGTCGGAGATACACAGACACCTTAGAAGTTCCAGGTTCTGTGATTAGGTATAAATGAACCGTTTTGGCTTCTGAATTGTGGTCAGTTCATGTGTGAACTACCTGGCCAGCAAACAGTTCCGAATCTGAAACCCTTTCATAACTGATAGGGAAACATTTTGCAGTTGGAAGTGATTTAACGGTGTTGTTCATAATAGATCCAGTACAAATCCCTCTCCTGCTGTTTTGTCAGCTCCCCAGCGCCGGGTAGAAGGGCAGTCCTGCTTGGTTAAGGGAAAAAAAGATAATCTGGTTGAGACTTGTGCTTTATTTTCAATAGCTACCAGATCCTGGAGAGTAGTTACACTGTATTTTTAGTGTTCCAGCTGACAATGGGGTTTATTATTCAGGTGGCTCGAGTGAGCAGAGATCACTCTGAATCCAGACAAGCAGAATCCAGTAAAAAAGGTGTTAGGTTTATATAGCTGCTGGTGTAGTACTAAGCACATATTAAATAGGGAGAGCTGTGGGTATCAGACTGGAGTACTTGATACTCCGTACTCCCACATGGCATGTCTGAAGTGATGTTACTGAAACACTGCAAGAGGCTCCGCTCTTCATCTCCAGAGCCTCCTGCTTGGCCACTGAGGAGGATGAGGGGAGTTTACAGGAGCTTCCTGAATGGGAAAGGGAAAAAAAAGTCAGTTAAATGCTGGATTTGTGACACAGCAGCTGAGGAAACGTTGCATGAAGGGAATCCTGCTATTTATGAAACTTCTCCATGCCTGCATGCTTAAGTGAAAGCCTATGCAATGCTCCAGCTCTGTGCAAACCTGCCCCATTTCCCTGCTCCAAGAGCAGGCAGCAGAAACACGGGGGAACAAGGAGTGGATGGCATTGTTTGTCCAAAGAAGCCACTGTCGAGGGTGCTGATGCTCTGATGCTCACCTTCCCCATCTCACCAGAGACTATGCTGCAGGCCACAGGAACTACAAGCCACGAGGATGAGTGGAGGTGGAGGTGACCGAGCCAAAGCAAACACGTTAGAGAAGTCAGGCAAGTCTTTTTGGAGCAGATTTCAAGCACGCTTTTGAACCCGTCGCACGACCTGTTTGGGTCCTGGCAAAGCTGCGTTAGTCCTAAGGCCAAAGAAGTCAAATGCAGGGAGAAGATACAGGTGTTTCCTCTCTGTGGCTGCCAAGGAGAGGTAGTGAGAAGACAGCACAAGACAGAGCAGAAATTGCCAAGACAGCACAAACTCATTTTCCAGAAAACAGCCATTAGTGGAATTGTTTTATCTGCTCAAATTTGACAAATCAGTTCAAGCCCAAGCACACCCTGCAGGATACCTGAATATCTGGGCTCTCATTTCCCAGGCAGCTCTGTCACCCTAGTAGTGATCATCCACTGAAGCCACCTCACTGCAATCTGTAGTCCCTCAAGACAAAATAACTCAAAATATTTATACCCTTTTTATTAATGAAAGGAGGAGCTCTTGTGTATGAGCTGAAGACACAATAAACATCAACAGAAGTGGCTAAACTTGTTTTGCATTCTCTGGTGCTGTCGAGTTGCCCTCTTACAAATCTTTTTGCTGTTCTTCTGACCTCAAGAGATTTAGAATGAGATTTCAAAGACCACTGATGATACCATTCAGCAGTGGGAAAGAGAATGAAGCTGTGGTTGAAGTTAAGAAGAGAGATAAAAGCAGTCTGTGTCCCAACCCCCAAATTTCCCCAATGCATGTGGGTTGGTTGTGTGAACAAGATGCAGAGAGCTACAGGGATGTTACGCTGCAACCCGACAACTCTCAGTCTTGCACATTTCAGGCTGTATGTGATGATGCATTTCTGTTATGTGGCACAGTACGTGCGGGTGATGGAGTAAACCCGATTGGGAGCGGAGTGCTGGGGAGGGGAGAAGAGGTCTGCATGGGGATGGGGAGCTTTGTGTCGCTGATTGCAGCAAGCAGTGAACACAGTGGTGAGAGAAGCCTTACCTGGGAAAAAACAGATAAAATCCTGGCTTCGTGCTGCGAGTGGTTATTGTCTCCCTATAGACTACGAGGATCCAGAGCAACTCCTCAGGCACAGTCCCAAGCAGGTTACAGAAGATCTTGTTCAGCCTGAAGAAGAGAAGGCTCTGGGGAGACTTTAGAGCAGCTCCCAG